CTTGCATACCCTCTTAGCATTCTCGCACGCTATGTTGCTCCTGGGAGACACAGACCGGAGCACATGGCTGCAGCGAAGAGGGTGTTGCGCTACTTGTGCAGTACGTCGGGCATGGGGCTTGTGCTTGGAGGGCAGAGTCCAGTGGTCCTTACTGGGCACGCAGACGCTTCTTGGGCTGACGACCAGGCTACGCAGCGGTCGTCACAGGGTTACACCTTCAGCCTTGGTTCCGGCTCTGTTTCGTGGCGGGCTACTCGCTCGTCTTCTGTTCTCGGCTCCAGTTGTGAGGCTGAGATCTACGCAGGAGCCCTGGCTGCACAGGAGCTTCGCTGGCTCACCTACCTGCTGACTGACCTCGGAGAGCCGCCTCGTTCTCCTCCAGTGCTGTACGTAGACAACAAGGCCATGCTGGCCTTGTGTCGGGAGCAGCGACTGGAGCACAGAACGAAGCACATTGCTCTCCGCTACTTTCTTGCTCGTGAGCTGCAGCAGCGTGGTCAGCTGCGTCTTGCGTACGTGGCCTCTGAGGCCAACACTGCTGATATCTTCACCAAGGCGCTTGCGCCTTGTGACCATCAGCGATTGAGAAAGTCACTGTAAACCTTCTCAAGCTTGGCGTAGCGATTGGTTCCTGGCTCGAGTAGGGGGAAGGGCTGGTGACTCAGCGCAGCTTCGGGGCAGACAGTGCAGCTGCGCGGGTGAGTCCCTCCTCTCACTTCGGAGCCGTCAGGGCGCAACAGCGCGCCGGGTGCGAAGACGCCGGCTTCGATGCAGTTCTTCAGGGTCACGCGCGAAGGGTGACCTAGGCGCTGATGCCAGATGGCGTCGTCGGCGCGGAATCCAGATGTGCGCATGTAGCGCTCCAGTGCGGCTGCGGGGTCTTCGTCAGGTGCCGGTGCAGGTGTAGGCGATGTTCCCTCGTTCTCTTCTTCTTCCTCGTTCGCCGTTGTTAGCATGAGGGCGAGAAATTCTCTGTCGCGGATGATGGAGTAGGGGATGTTGGTTCCGGGGATCGTGCCAAGTACGAACGCCGGTTTGCGTGGTTCAGGGGCAGGTCCGTAGACAGTGCGTCGCGGGGTGAGTGGTTCACTTCCCTAGTCGATGGTGTCCCAGGGGTCACTACCTGAAGGGATGTCAGGCGGCGGTGGTCCTAACGCAGGGCGGCGCGGAGGTCGTCCAAGAGGAACAACAGGAGGTTCGACCTCGGCACGTGCAGGTTCTTCTTCCTCTTCCCCCCTTTGATCCTCGCGGAAAGCTCCCCAGCCGCTCGTCTCGCCGCCTTGTGCGGCGCCCCATCCGCCGATGTATGCGCCTGTTGCTGCGCCCCATCCGCCGGTTGCGACGCCCCAGCCGCTGGTGTCGCTCGTTCCCCATCCGCCGGCGCTCCCCCACCCCCCTTCATTGGAGGCGCTTTCCTCGTCCTGCTCCCAGGCGAGCGTTCCGCGTGCCTCGGCGAGGCTCTTCCGCCGAAGCTCTTCGGCTTCTTGTTGCGCCAATGTCTCTTCTTCCGTGGGCGAGAGCCGTTTCTTGGAATCGCGCCGGTGAGAGAAGATCTCTGCCGCCTTTCGTTCGGTGTAGGGCCGGGGATTCCCATGCGCGTCGAAGGTGCCGACGCCAACGCCGCGGAGCATTCCTTGGAGATGCTGGGATGCGGGTCCGGGAAGAGGGTGTTCCGGTGTGCCGAATACGACCCGTGTAGCTGTTTCCAACTCCAGTTGGGAGAGACCCTCTTCAGGCGGTGCGTCTCGCTCTGTTTCGCGAATGGCGGCGAGGCCACGGCCGGCGATCGCGCTCGTCGAAGACGTTGGTGTGTGGCAGTCCTTGCAGACGCCGTCGGGATCGGGGTCGTGCAGCGCGAGCTCGCGGGGGTGTGAGTGGTGTGGCACCCAGGGGCGCCCATCAGGGTGCTTCCAATCGCGGCGATGAATGTGTTCGAAGCGCAGGGGGACGAGGTCAATCAATTCCTGCGAATCGCCGCTGCAGTCGGGAATGTCGAAGTCGAGAACGTATACGCCGTTCTCGGCGCGCGCCCGTCCGATCTGCTTGCGCTTCTTGTTCGGCATCGTGAAGTGGAGCAGGATGTCGCGCGTCTCGGGGTCGGTGCTGAGGATGACTCCGCAATCCAGGAGTTGCGCCGCCGAGAGTAAATTAAAGCGCAGGTTCTGCACAATCAACACGTCGTTAAGTGTGATGTGCGTTCGGCTCCCTCGTGCCTTGAGCACCACGATACCTTGCGCGCTTGCGCGCAGCCGCGTGTTGTTCGCCACTGTGACGTAAGTGACGACGGGAGTGGGGACGGCGTTGGATATGTAACGCTCGGAGCCCACCATATGCTGCCCACAGCAGCTGTCCAGGTACCAGTTGTTGTAGCGCCTGTTGTCGTTTCGCGCGAGCAGCGCCAATCGCGGAGTGACGATGTGTGGAGTGTCCACCTTCAGAAACTGTTCGCGCGCGATCCAGTCGATCGGTGCCGGCCGCATGTCAGGTACGTGCGGAGGGCTCTCAAGCAGCGGGACTGGTAGATTCCAGTCCTGGTTGTCGTCGTCGCTGTAGTCGTGATGCGTGCTGAATGGATTGTTGTTCGGAGATGCCTCGATTGGGTCGGGCGCCGGCTCAGGTGAGAGTGAGCGTGCGCGCGGGCTACGAGAGCCGCTCGTCATGGTCATGTTCCCCATGACGTTGCGGACGGGGGCAGCTTGTGGTGGCTGCTGCTGCTGCTGAGTTGTTGGATTCAGGTTGCGCGGTGGGGGTTGAGCCCCCTGGGCGGGACGCGTGTCGTTTCTTGCGTCTTGTCGGCCGGACCAAGTGCTCGGATTGGTCTGGCGAGGGCGAGATCGATGCTTGCATCGATCCGCCAAGTGCCCGAAATTTCTGCAGATCTTGCAGTAGAGGCGCCGTGGTCGTCGCTCTTCCGTGTTGTCTGCGTAGAATGCGAGACGTTCTCTCTCTCTCGTCGTGGCACTGGTCGCTGCTGGTCCATATCCCGTTGTTCGACGAGGAGGGCGGCGCAAAGGGCGGCCTCCGAGATGACCCCCTGCTGTCGGAGAAGCGCCTTGCAGGGCCGCCACTCTGGGCCGAGCCATTGGAGCACGATGTTCACGAAGATCTCCTCAGAGATCGAGCTCCCCAATTTCACGATTTGATCGCGAAGGCTCCGACAGCGGTTGATGTAGCTGTTGACTTTCTCCCCTGAGGTAATCTTAGTTTCCAGCAGTTGCTGGAGTAGTCGGCTCGAGGAGACGGAGTCCTTGGGCTGATACACGCCGTTCAGGTGGCGCCAAGCGTCGAGGGCTGGGGCAGCCGATGTCTTGTATGAACGAATGTTCAGCTGCTCCGCCGGCGACATGTTACGCAGAAGAATCCCGTACGCCATCAGGGACTCGTTATAATAGCGAGTCCTTGCGTCGTCGGTGTCCTCAGCAGGTCCCGAGTAGCTCCCGTCGAAATAATGATAAATCTGCGCGTTTTGCAGCAGCAGCTCCAGCTCGAAGCTCCAGGTGTAAAAGTCTCTGCCGTCAAAGCACACACTTGTCTTTATTTTTGATATGCTCAAAAACCTTGATTGCGCGGAGAGAATTGCTTCATCGCTGGGACAGGGAGTCTTGGGGGTTGAGCCATTTGTATCTAGGGAGAAGCCTTGCGGGGCGGAGTTCTGGCCGTTTGAGGCCGGTTGAGTGGGTTGGGAAGGAGTTCCCGCATCGCCATTCCGCAATGTCTGGAGCCCTTGCTCCAGGCTCGTGAGTCGCTGAAGCAGTTGTGCGATGACGGCGGAAGGAATCGTCGTCGTTTCCTCGTTTGTCGCAGCGGGGTTGGGCTGCGCTTCAGCCGTCAGATTCGTCTGACCTCCAGATCCTCTGGCCATTCTTACACGTGATCGTGTGCCGGACGCCACTTTCCGAATGTTACAGATTTCGGAGATGGCGGTGCGAAGGATTCCTGAGTCGCTCTCATACCATGCTGCGATCAAAAGTTGATCGTGGCCTAGGATCTACTCAGGAAGGTTCGCACGCAGAGAAGTGATGTTGGTGGGCCCTTGACCTCAATAGCAGAGTGAATGTAAAATGCTTTGAGATAATTAACACGTGCAGTACAAGGAATATAAATATGAGTACAGGGGAATTCGAAACGACCTAACTAGCCATGTACTCTAAGGGGTACATTACCTTATTGCAGCGAAATCCAACCGTGCGACTCCGAGTGGTTACGTAACTGTTCGGGCAGAATCCTCGCCACTGCTGCTGCCTGATGCTGTCTGCCCGACGGTCCAGATGCTCCTCGTAACCGTCTGTCACTTCGCCTTTCTTCTGCCTTTTCGTCTTCACTCTCGGTAGTGCGTGCTTCGGCTTTGCTACGGTGAGGAGTGCGCAACAGTGTTTTTCATTAACCACTATTCGTAACAGGGTAGGCCTAGACCAATTTTGGGCCCTGGTTACAGCCCGTCATATTCCTTGCAGACTTATAAAAGGCTTGTATTACTTTTCTATAATCAATCTATCTTGCCCTCACATACTAGCGCAAGGTGGTTCAACACTTATAATTAAAACGGTTACGCAACTACAACCTTATCTACCCAGAGTTTGGTCTTGAAAGATCCTAAGGGTTTTTTTTTTCAGCCCAACAAAAGCGACGATAGAGTCAAATTTGTTTTGGAACTTAAACTGTGAAACAATGTACTATAATTAAAGGAATTATATAGTTATCTACTGTTTTTTATGTAACGTTAAGTTTAGGGTACTGTTAGGAAGTACTGATCGTGGAATTTGTTCCAAGAGATGGGCATTGCAATTATAGAATATATTGAATAAACAATACACTGGTCCGAGTTCCTTATTAGCCTCGAGGGCTCGAATTAACTGGGGGTACGGACCAAAGCAGGGCCCAAATTCGCCCTCCCTCTAAAACCCGCGATCAGAAAACATTCAACCAACCACCAGCTCCGTGTCGCACGTTTCCGAAAACCATAGAAGATGCTTTTAGGGCCAACCCGGGCTGTCGTTTTCTTAGGCAGAGGCGTAGGCGGAGTATTTGCAGTCGGGCGCGACGACGGACGAGGAGATGTAGTCCTCCACCTGCCCGTCTAGGAAGCCCCGCCCCTCCGCCTTATCCACGTCCACCGGGTGGTGCAGCAGCGCCGCCAAGTGCGAGTACTTGACCGCGCGCTGCAGCTGCTCGGGCGTGTTCCTGAACGTCTGCCCCAGCACGCCGTGCACGGCGGACGTCATCTTGACGTCGGAGAGCTCCACGTTGAAGTGCGTCTCCGCCTCCGCCGGCGTCTGCAGCAGCGGATGCGCCACGCGCACGCGCACGTCGAGCTCCCCCAGCCCCACCACGCGCACCTGAAACTGATCCACGTCGAACGGCCCCTCCTTCTCCTCCGCGATTTTGGTAACCACCAGCCCGCTGTTCGTCGTGATGGATTCGCCAACGCTGGGAGGGGTGGTCGTGGCGCCGTCGATCTCGAGCAGCGAGAGGAAGCCGTTGTCGCCGCGCGCCTGCTGCTTGCCCTTGCGCGCCACCATGCGCAGCGTGTGGTTCGCGCCGTCGGGCGTCATCCACACGACGCCGATCTCCTTAATCCACGTGTGCAGCTCCGTGCTCGACTCCTTGTCCGTATTCGATGTGGAAACGGCGGGCGGCGCGCCCTGGTAGCCGTTGAGATGCATGTTGACGTGGAATCGACGGTCGGAGAAGAGGCAGAAGGAGCGATCGAGGCGGCCCGTGAAGTCGTAGTGCGTGCCGTGCGCGCCCGTGAGATGCGGGTCGTTCTCGACGAGCGCCGTGCCGTTGCACAGCCCGCCCACGAAGCTCAGCGGGTAAGTCGCCGCGTTCGCCGCCTGCGTCGCCGCGTCGCCCGCCATGGGCGTCTTGAAGGAGCCTGACGTGCCCGTGCCGCCGTTCTTCTCCAGCAGGTAACACTGAATGCGGTCGATGAAGCCCGCCACCCTGGCATTCTCACCCGCCAGGCGCGAGCTGCGGAGAAGCAGGTAAGGGTAGAAGGAATCGAAATGAATTACTCTGAGCCATTACACGATCGTGCGGGGCGAGTGGTGGGGAAAAAGGCAGAAAAGGACCCAACCACTTGCAATACTAAGTCAAAATCTGCACATATTCTCGTAGCAGCTTCAGGGATCAAGTACTCACTTCTTGAACCAGTGCCACTCGTAGCAGTACGTGGAGCGCGCACACGCGCGGCAGCACTCCTGCAGCGTGTCACCGTACACGCCCTTCACCACGTCGAAAATGGTCCCCACCTCCGTGTACCGCTCGAAATTCACAGGGCCCGACCCGCGCTGGTGCGGCGCGAACTGGCCGCCCTGGCTGTTAAAGAGTCCCTGGAAGTCGCCGATGTACTTGTAGTTGGTGTACGTGGACGTCGTAATTGTCGCGGTAGCGAGGTTGTCTATGTAGGGACACATATAACGTGTGTGGCAACCGCCGGCGGGCATGTTCGCAGCGTGTGCCACGTGCAGTAGGCAGAGCAGCGCGAGGGCCAAGGGAAGGCTGGCGGGAAACGCCATGGTTGACCGGCGCTGCGCTTACTGATGGTTGCTTATGGTTGCTCCTAATTAACGCTTGTTGCGATGTTAGACACTAGTAGCTCGAAAGAAGCTAGTGAGGCAGGCCAAGTGAAGCAGTTGGTAGTGCTCACTTCGATGGTTGGATGAGATGTGATTCAATCTGTCTTTGTGAGTGCAATGTGCAAGTATATGTGGTTTTGCCACTGACACGGACTTGGATTTCTTGGTGCCAGAGAGATTGGTTGGGGAAGAAACGAGCGGTTCGAAGATGTGACTCTCGCCGTAGTGTACCAAATTGTACCGATGTCAAACGTCTGGGAAAGAGACGTAACCTACTTGGGGATTGAGCTGAAAGCAGAGCGATTTGCGCATTGCGCCTGGGACAGGCTGGGTGAATGTGTCATGACGCATGGCGCCACACGCGAAGCGCCCTCAAGATCCCTCATGGCCCCACCCCACTCACCCCAACAGCTCAGATGGGCAGTGTCCGCCAGATGGGAGGTATGGATGCGTAGTTTCACATACAGCTATTTGGACTGTACGCGGCTTCGTGATGTGACGAAAAATCGGCCATTATCTCCGATACTCAGATTAGGGAAAATATGTCAATGGTAACTTACATGGGGCAGTGTAAGGAATTTCGCTAATTCCTTACTGAGGCATCTCTTACGCGTACAACTCCAATTTTCGGAATTCAGGCTCGGTCCGACGACCTCGCCTTCCGAACGTCTCCCGCGTCCCAACCCCAAACCTGCACCCAACCTTCGCGCGACTCCGCGACCTCGGCCTAGCTAGCTGTGCTATATTATGCCTAGGCCTCGTTGTTTGCTCAGTAGTTGTAATCACTTCCGCGATATTGCATTCTGCGCACTCTTCTTTTCATACAACTCATAACACTTGGTATCAGAGCTACTTTCCTAGGTTACCCTCCACTTTCCGGGGTAGTTTTAGTGCAGGGGTGCGATAGGTTTGGTGGGCTGCAAAGCGGTCGGCTGAGAGATAGATACGATTATCTCGCTCCGACTAATAGCGTTTGCGCCTTCATCAAAACCATAAAAATCGCTGTTAACCCGCTGCCCACTAGGATGAGTCTCCGAAACATGACGCAAGCAGAGTTTGACGTGTTTTTGCAGGACTTTCGGGCGATGCAATCCAACATGCAGACTATGTCTGGCGAGTTGGAGCGCCTGAGGGTGGAAAACGCCGATCTACGCCAGACGCGAGGTGAAGCGCGTCAGGAGTCGGCCGCCGTGGATGAAGCAAGTAGCAGCTTCGCGCCTAACGACGAGGTCCTTAGCGAGCTACAAGACTCACTGGACGCTGAAGATGAGTGGACGGCACGGATGCAACAAGCACAAGGGACGCAGGGGCGACAGTCACAGCCGCAGCAACAGACACGAGCGGCGCCGAGGCAACAGTCGCAGACTACACCACGTCAGGCAACAGCGACAACCCCGGTGATGGCTTCAGTGGCGCCCCCGATGCATGCAGCAGCGACAGTCTCAACAACTGTTAGAATAAAACCGACGAACCCGCCCCCGTTCAACCCCAGCGACAAAACCGTCACTGTGTCGGCATGGTTGTTCGGCGTGGAGGTGTTTTTCAATGCTGCGCAAATTGCTGACGATGCTACCCGCATTAATTTTGTAGTGTCACTGTTACGAGGGCCGGCGTTGGAGTGGTGGAAGCGGACTCTTCAGACAGGGGGGACTCCGGCAGGGATGTCACGTGCGAACGACGGGACCTGGACAACTGTCACGCAACAGGCAACTTCAATCTTCGGAGTGGCCACGATACGCACATGGACGGAGTGGGGCGCCGCGCTGCGAACCAGATTCGAGCATGTATCCGCCTCGGATTCTGCTCGCATGAAGCTGCGCACCTGGAAGCAGGTGGCGTCGGTCCAAGATTACACGGCAACATTCTGCGATTTGGCTGACCAAGTGGACGATATGAGCGACGCGGAACGACTCGACCGATATGTCGCAGGCCTCAAGTACGAAATACAGTACGAGGTGCGACGGGCGAGGCCACGCGGTTTTTTCGATGCCGTCCAGGTGGCTGAATCAACGGATGCGCTGATGCAATGGGCGAGAATGAGTTCCCGGGAGGGCATTCAATTTCGTGGACCGCCGCGCCAGCCCACAATCAACGGGGTGGATGCACCGAGACGTGGACCTAACACGTGCTTCAACTGCAACCAACCGGGCCACTGGAGGAAGGACTGCCCGAAGCTGAAACAGGGAAACAGGAACGACGGAGAGGGGTCGGGAAAAGAGACGAGTCAGTAGCAGTCGGGCCACCTACTGACGAGACCCCGTCGCCCGGCAATCAACATCCACACCGAGTGGTGGTACCGATACGGGCTATCGACCGCAACCGGACGAATAAGGTGGATGAACACGTGGATCACCCTGTGCTGGTCGTGGGGAGGGTTAACGGCTATAAAATAAAATTATTCGTTGACGGTGGGGCGAGCCACAGTCTCGTCAACCTGGCAACGGCAAAAAAAATAGGGGTCAAACTGGACAGGTGTCTGTCCGAGATTGACGCGCGACTGGTGGACGGGACACCGCTGGCGATAAAAGACGAGGTCCGACAAATTCGGATGAAGTGTGGCGACGATCACTGGACGGTTGCGATGTGCTGCTGGGACGAGATTGGCTACAGCGTTTCAATCCGACGATCGACTGGACGACGGGGGTGATCACGGTGCTGTGCAACAAGGGGCGCGTGACACTTCCGAAATGGGTGGAGCCGGAGCCGATGACAACACGTGTCAACGCAATAACGATGAAGAGGGCGATAAAACGGGGAGCGCAAGGCTACGCCGTACAGCTGTACGAGGTGGTGGCTTCCGAAAAAATCGCCGACATCGACACGCTCTGCGCTGCTGTACCCAACGACGTGGCGAGCATAATTCGGAGGTATCCCGAAATCTTCGCGGATGACCTGCCTGACGGGCTGCCACCTCAGCGTCCGGAGGACCACAAGATCGAGCTGGAGCCAGGCGCAAAACCAACTGTTCGGTCACAGTGGCGGCTCAGCCAACCGGAGCTCGACGAGTTGGGGAAACAGCTGGATTATCTGCTTTCGAAGGGTTTTATCCGGCCAAGCACGTCACCATACGCCGCCCCGATACTGTTCACACCGAAAAAGGACGGAGGCATGCGCATGTGCATCGACTATCGAGCGTTGAACCGGGTCACGATCAAGTCACGTTACCCGATCCCACGAGCGGACGACCTGCTGGATCAGCTTCGCGGGGCTCGCTTCTTCTCGAAAATCGATTTGCGAGGTGGCTACCACCAAATTCGCGTGTTCGCCGACGACTGCCCGAAGACTGCGTTTCGCACCCGCTACGGCAGTTACGAGTACACTGTGATGCCGTTCGGGTTGACGAACGCGCCCTCGACTTACCAGCTCACCATGAATGGAGTGTTTCGGGACATGCTGGACAAAAAAAGTTATCGTTTATCTGGACGACATCCTGGTGTACAGCAAGACTCGGGAGCAGCATTTACAGGACTTAGAGGAAGTGTTCCGGTGCTTGCAGCAGAACCGACTGATTACTAAGGGCTCTAAGTGTGAGTTCCTACAGTCGGAGCTGGAGTTCCTGGGGCACGTGATTTCAGGGGAGGGCATTAAAATTGACCCTCGCAAAGTAACGGCGATTTCGGAGTGGAAACCGCCCACGAACATCACGGAGTTGCAGAGTTTCCTCGGCTTCGTTAACTACGTCCGCCGTTTTGTACCGAATATGGCGGAGGTAACCAGGCCGTTAACCGATCTTCTGCATAAGGGCGTGCAATTCTGTTGGGGGGAGAGAGAACAGCTGGCTTTCAACGAGCTGAAGAAAATTTTGAGTTCACCCCCGGTGCTTCGGCTGGCAGATCCATCTCGACCGTTCGAAGTCGTGACGGACGCCAGCGATTTCGCCGTGGGCGCTGTGCTACTACAGGACTTCGGAAACGGGCTGCAACCCATCGCGTACGAATCAAGAAAAATGCAGCCGCCCGTGCGCAACTATCCGGTCCACGACAAGGAAATGCTCGCCATCGTGCATGCATTTCGTACCTGGCGCTGTTACCTCACGGGAGCTGACGTCACCGTCTGAACCGACCACAAGTCATTACAATACATGCGCAGCCAACCACAACTCAACCCGCGACAAATCCGGTGGCTCGATTACCTCGAGTCCAATTTCAGCTACACCATCACGTACAAAAAGGGCGCCAACAACATCGCCGACGCCCTGACCCGACCATCAATGCAGACCGCAGCAGTACTAATCGCCCATTCTAACCCTTTATTGACAGGATTATTCAAGCATGGCTACAGGATTGACCGGTTCTTCAGGACCAATCAACACCACGGGGTCACCACGGCGCATGGGAGCTACTACCTAAAAGTCGGTACTAACCGAGTTTGGGTACCTTCCTACCGACCCTTACGAGAATTGCTGACGCAGGAAGTACACGACTCCAACCTCTCCGGGCATTTCGGCGCCGACAAAACGTTGAAGCTGCTGCAGCGGAATTATTACTGGCCCGACATGGCGTCAGACGTGCAGCACTACGTGTCCGCCTGCCCGACCTGCCAAGCAATGAAGTCATCACGCCAACGCCCAGCTGGATTGCTGCAGCCCCTCGAGCCACCCGAACGACCGTGGCAACAGGTGACAATGGATTTCGTCACAGGACTGCCAGCGGGCGCAAGTGGCAACGACTCGGTACTTGTCGTCGTCGATCGCTTAACGAAAATGGCGCATTTCGCACCATGCCGCACGACGATCACAACCGAAGAAACAGCGAAGCTCTTCATCTCGACCGTCGTACGACTACACGGGTTGCCATCGGCGATAATCAGCGACCGCGACCCAAAATTCACGTCGAAGT